AATCTGTCATGATAAATCCGAAATTGACAGTGTAACAGTACTCTTTAGACTTTGATTACATGTTCATCCATGCTGTAACTATACAATTTCCTTACATCTCATACGTTTTGGTATTTTCTCTTAAATCCATGACCGGGTTAATATGGTGGGCCATTAAATGTCACGTGGTTGACTCTTAATTTGCTTATCTTTGCAGTCCATGTTGCCAGAAACCGGGAGACAAACAGGTCGCGGGGTTTTGGCTTTGTTACATTTGAGAACCCTGACGATGCAAAAGATGCCCTGGAGGGAATGAATGGAAAAGTATGGCTGTTTTTCTTCTATACATTTTTCAATTTGCATTCTGAGTCAGACAGTTCATGGAAATGTTTCATTATAAAGAAAAAAAGGACTTTCACATTACGCCAAATGTTTGTGTAATGTTATCTGTAAGAATGAATCAAGTTGAAGCACTGCAATGGTGGTAGTAGGCATATGGAAACTTTACATAGTCTTCTGTTTTTTTTTTTTTTGCCTTTTTTATAATGCAAGAAAATAATACATGCATACTTATTTGGGAGTATAAACTTTTATTTGGTAGCTAGATTAGCTCTAGTGCAAAACTAAGCAAAATTCAGCCCACAAACACTTCATTAACTGATTTCTTTCCTCTCTGTAGTCTGTGGATGGCAGGGCAATCCGTGTGGATGAAGCAGGGAAAGGAGGTGGTAGCCGCTCCGGTGGTGGTGGATACAGGGGTGGTGGAGGAAGAGGAGGTGGTGGATTCTTCAGAGGAGGAAGAGGTAGAGGTGGGCCAAGAGGTGCGGATGAGCATCTGAGTCATTAATTACTTTAAATGATCATCTTTCAAATAATATAATAATAAATAATATAATGGTTATGTAGGAGCACATCGAGTGAAATGATTGAGAGCAGCATGCTTTGTGTGTTCCTTTGTTTGTGGCTTAGTTTTGTCTGTGATCAAGTGATATTGAAATATCTCTTATCAGGTGGAGGAGGTTATGGCGGTGGTGACAGGAGCTATGGAGGAGGAGACAGGGGGTATGGCGGTGGTGATCGCGGATATGGTGGGGACCGGAGCTATGGTGGAGGAGGTGGTGGCTACAAAAGTGGAGGTGGCTACTCTTCTGGTGGGGGTGGAGACTACAACAGAGACAGGTAAGGTCTTGTAATACCAATTCCTAATGAGATTTGAACATTATTTGTAGATGTTTAGCTTGTGGACAAAGTCTTGTCTCTTCTAAACTATAACTTGCTTAAATGCTGATTCTCTGCTTTTCTTGCTGTTTCTTCAGGGGTTCTGGCTATGGAGATCGTGGGGGCTCCTACAGAGATGGCTATGACCGCTATGGTGGTACGTATTAGCCTCTCTGTGTCTTAGATTCCCAGGCATAGCGCACTTGCCCTGAGGGGAGCAATAGACGTCATGTAATCTTATTTTTATTATTATTTTATTATTTTTTTTTAGTCTTAGTCTTTCCTGGATCTTTGATACTTTAAGAAATGCTTGAGGTGAAAGTCCAAAAGTGGGTTGTATCTTTCCCACCTTGCTTTGCCCACCTTGTGACTTTGAGGAATGGTGCCCACTTCCAAATGAGGCTTTGTTTGTTCACTTGTGCTCCCTGTAGCCCAAAATCAGTCACAGCCAATAACGACCAAATTTGACTTCCCTCAGGCCTATTGATTGTAGGGCCACCTGCTTTGGTGTTTTTGTCTTTTGTTCAAACTGATAGCTATGAGGGATTTTGTGTATCAAACTAAAATGTGTGCAGATGCTTCAGTGTCTTCTCATGTGTGCCTGCTTCTTCCTCAGCTGCACACGAGTAAAACCCAAGACCCGTCACTTCACTGGCTGTGCGTTATCTAAAGATGCACTCCTCAAGGATCTGTTTTTGTTTCAACATAGTAGTTTCCTTTGTATTTTATATATATTGTTTTAGGTGGGTGGGGGGCTGTTCGTATTGGCTGTGAAATGTTCTAAATAATGTGGGGAGCGTCCTGGCTGCTCTGTTACATTTTAATTAGACCAGTGTTTCCAGTTCTATCCTGGAGGCACCCGGCCTTGCACATTTTAGTGTTACTTCCTGCTCTGACATCTAAAAGCATATTAAAGAGTGGATTACTTGGATCAGGAGTGTTGGTAGCATGGAAAACACTCAAGTGTGCAGGGCTTAAGGACCTCTAAAGTCAGGGTTGGGGAAACGATGGCTTAAATTTTTTACTTTCTTGAGCCTCATGTGAAACCAAAACTCTGATAGTCACTTCTGACCAGCTGCCACAGTATTGCTATCACTATTGGTCCAGCCCCACCTATGTAAATTAGTTTAAAGCCTAAGGCATGTCTTAAGCTTTATTCCATTATATAGGGTTTCCCTGCGCTTTAACGTTCTACCTCACCAAGGGCATTTTAGCAACTGTGGTTTGCTTAATGGTAGAATCAACAAATATTTGACTTGGAGTTGAAAAAACATAAATGAATTTCATTTGAAATAAAATCTAATTTTATAGTCAGTAGGAAGAAGCCTTTTGTCCATTTCAAGTATCCAAAAAGTGAATTCCTTTCAGACTGGTGAACACTGCTGGAGTGAGGTGGCCAGCACTGGTGCTGTTCTTGAAGTGCAGCTTGCAGCTTGCCACGTTCAGCCTCACTCTCCCAGAGGTATCTCTGCTCTGCTCAACGTTTTTGCATTTTTAACCTTGTGCTGTAATGATGGACCGAAACTCTTAAAATATAGTGATCTATGTGAAAGAACTTAACTTTTTGAAACCCTGTTACTAGTACTCTTTCCAAACTGGGGAGAATGTGCCCTGTTCTTTGTATCGACATTGATGACTCACTATTCCTTACATTTTTTTTTTTTGTTGTGTTTATTTTTGGCTTCATGGAGCCTATTAAATGAGATTTCTTGAAAATGCTCTGATTTTTGCTTGTGCTTTTAACAAACTTGAAGTTCCAATGCTGGCTGAGGAGGGGGATTTGAACAGAAATTGAACTTTAGTTTATTTTAGCTTGGGATATGAAGAAATGGTTCAGTATTAGTGTTCAGGTGCAGTCTTAGCTTTCCTCAGCAGTTGAAATAAGGGGTTTAGGTTAAAGGTGAAGATTCCAAGTTATCTTAACTCTCATCCACTGTATGTGCTTTTAAACCTAACATGTAAAGACACTATCTTAGTCAAATGCAACAACAAACCTTAATGCTAAGTAGCTCTGACCTCTAAACCAAAACTACAACAGTAACAAAATTGACAAGCATAAGAAATTAAATTGGTTATAATGGTAAAACAGCTTAATTTTAAAAGACTGGAAATTCTCTACTTTTAAGACAAATAATGGCAAGTGGGTAGACATTTAAGTGACCAGTGTCTAGATACTGAAACTTAAAGTTGGGACATTTTAGCTTTAGATTATGCTATATGTATCTCATACCTCTCTTAAAAAGTTGCTCTTTTTTATTAAAGCAAAAAGTCATTGGTAAACCCTGAACATAATGCATTCTTTGGGATATCCAAGTAATGGCTCATCAAAATCAGTGAGGTAATTGAGGTAAACATGTGCCTGGCATTTAGCCACTAATGGAAAATTCTGGTGGTTAACAGTTCTGATTTTTGGCTCCGGTATAAAGAGAAAATGCTTCATTGCATCCAAGAGCTCTACTGTTTTTTTGTAAAGAGTGGAGCAAAGTTCTTCACTCACGTCCTTGGAGAATGAAGTGTTGCACCTACGGAAGTGATTGCTCCTGTCATGGGAACAGGAGAAAGCTGCTACTCTCTTGGGCTAGTTGATGTATGGAGAAACAGTAGGCCTGTGTACGTGAGGTAACCTTCCTTTGCTCTCCTGTTCACAACCTTCAAAACCTTTTATTTTAGTTCATATAATTGTGCTCTAAAGAATACGTCAGTGTTTACAGAATTACCTCCCCACCACGCCACTGATGTCAGACATGTTTCTTTTTTTTTCTTTTAAGGCTTCTCTCTCAATACACATCTGCATGGTGTCCTGAGCTCCTTTTTTGTCACCTGTTCCCCTTCCTGAAATCTAGCATTTTTGGCTTAAATTCACACTCAAGGGGTGTCAGATGCTGAGAATGAAATCTGACCTGACTCCAGTCTACTTTTATTCTCATGCCTTGTCCATGCATCCTGAACCATTCTCAAAATTCAGAAAATTGTTTTTTTTGCTCTGACCCACCTGGGGCATTAATGTGGTTTGCCCTCTAGAGCTCATCTCCTTTTGTGGCCTGTAGAATCACTTTGAACCGTATCTTGTCAGTTTTTATTTCCTTGTGTTCCATGTCAGATAGTTCTAACTCTCATTTAGTTAGAAGCACTTAGATTTATCTGTATTCACCTAACAAAGTATCTTTTTTTCTCAGTATTTGACATTGCTTTGTTATTCTTGCTTAATGATTCCTTGCTTTTTTCTTTTTTTGAATAGGTTGAAAATATCCCACAAGAAAGGTGGTCTTCACCATTGAATTAAGAACGCCCAATGTGGTGGCAGTGGTAAACTTCAAGGCCTGAAAGTTAAGGTTTGTATTTAGATGATTATTTCTTTATGTATTTATATAACTTAAATGGTTTCTACTGTTATGACTTAACTGTAAACTCCATTCTGATTGGCTTTTGTAAGGAATGATTATTAAAGACATACTACAGCATACAAATACTAATCCTGTTTTCTGTTCTTGTTGTGATATTGCATCATGTAGGGTATAACACCAGTTAACTGCATGACTCTTGCTTCGTGTTATAAATAGAAATTTTCTTCTCCGTTGCCAGGTGTGGCATATGGAAGAAATATGGGGCACTACAGAAACAGCACATCAAACAACAGGCTGCAAAAAGAGAAGCTACCATGGTACTAGCTATTTTGTTCGAGACAGTCTGAGTTGGTCAGGAGAGGAATTGAGTCCTCTTCTTTCATAGCCATTAGCAATGAAGTTTGTCTACTGTGAAAGTGATCATTTAAGATGAATATTTAAGTAAGGCAAACCAGTACATCCTTTTGCTAATGCAGCTGTTTTAATTTTCAGTTTTTAGTCTGTGTGAAGAGGAGCAGATGGACAGTAATGTTGTTACAGTACAGCATTCTCTCAATAAAACCCATCCAACATTTGAAACTACTCGTATTGCTTTCTTTACTCGTCTGGATAATTAACAATCCACAGGTGAAACCGGGTTTCAGGAAGGAATTCTTAAAAAAAAATACTGAAAGTAATGCACAGACTGATTATTGTAGCTCAGCGATACAGTCTGTACCAGAGAACCTGGGTAGATTAAGGTCATATTTCTTTTGAATGTCATAGGGCAGGAAACGTCCAGCAAGGAAATGTGTTCCAGAGAAACTGAGGGCACACTTCTTTGGTGTCATAAGTGAGATGAGGACAGCAGGGCTGAGACCATCTGTACTGGTTTCATCAGGGTCCCAGCCTGAAAAGAGAGTGGTCATTAAAGAGGTCAGTCAGGGATTTACATATAATAATCATAATCTTTTTGTATAGTAAAATCTAAAAGTGCTTTACACAGGATATAACTTTGAAAAGATAAAAATGCCATGGTCAGAATCAAAAAACAGCACGCCTACCAACAATATGAAAAGAGAAACTAGGCATGTATATATTCAATTTGCATTTTAAAATATTTGTCAGACTTGTTTCTTTAATATTGTCTGGGGTGCTATTCCAGAGCTGTATAAGCATGTGATCTTCTGCTAACAGAGCTGTAAGTGATCTTAGGCCTGCTTCAGCTGAGAGATGTGTCCTTGATGGGATATCATGCTTCAAGAGAGATAAACCTAAAACAGGGGTGCACAACTCCGGTCCTGGAGGGCCGGTGTCCAGCACTTTGTTGATTTACCTGCTCCAACACACCTGATTACACTTACCTGTTAATTACCAGGTTTAGTGGGTGTGTTTGAGCAGGGAAACCTCCCCTGTGCTGGACACCAGCCCTCCAGGACCGGAGTTGTGCACCACTGACCTAAAAAAACTACACCTCCAGCCATTGCAGAGTTCTGTTCAAATCCACTCCCAGCACATGATTTCATTTATTAGCCAATTGATTAGCCAAACCTGATACTGGATGATGACAACTACCATTAATAGTGAGCTTTATGTAGAAGAGGTTATGAACGGGCTAAACTAACATGTTTATGTACAATAATTCACTACTTGTATTTGTGTTATTTATATTTATTCTAATGATAGTGTTTTTTAAAGCAAAAAAACTCTTGCTGCCCAATTAAATGGCTTTTTAAATATCATTTTCTTATGTGCCTAAAATGTTTCCACAGTACAGTATAATGAACAGAAAATTACACAGAAGCTAATGCTGGGTGGAGTTAGAGCTCTAAATCTTAAGGACGGTCTTGACATAATATTTTACTATACAACACTTTAGGACACATTTATTGTCTGATTTACATGAACCGTATGGTCCATAACAACTAAAGCTACAGAATTTGTCATTGTCAGCATGGTTTGCTGTTTTCTGACCTGAGGGGATGTCAAGGCTGGCGATGGGGATTTTGACTCCTCTGAGAGTAAGTAAGATGTTGGTGAAGGGCTCCTCAACTGCTCCCAGCTCCGTCTCAGGACCCAGCACCGCATCGACAATCAGGTTGTATGCATCATTTACAAGCTGCACCTGAAAATATGAGACCTGGTAGCTCAGCAGCCAGAGAACTAAGCTAAGGCTTAAAGTCAACATAATATCAAAATGGACTTTTGCCTACATCTAAACCATTTCAGTTTTGGGGAGAGAGGGAGAAGGGTATTAATATCATGTTTCACTATCCCCCTGTATCAAGTGAAAACGCTCAGAGACCACCACTCTAATGATGTTTTACCCAAATATGTCGTGTTTATCAGCCATAGAACGAAACCCAACATTCTACAATTCTGTTTCCAAAACGGTTGGGACGCTGTGCAAAATGTAAATAAAGACAGACTCCAATGATGTGCAAATCATTTAAACTCTATATTTAATTGAAAATAATACAAAGACAACACATCAAATGTTGAAACTGAGAAATTTTATTGTTTTTTTTTGAAAAATATTTTTCCATTTTGAATTTGATGCCACTGTGTTGCATCACCTTTTCTTTCATTAAGCGCTTGGGAACGTAGGAGACTACTGCGCCAAATTTTTTCAGTGTGTGACGTCTGGATTGAAGGCAGTTGAGCACTCGGACTCTTTTACTACAGAGCCATGCAGAAATAATATGTGCAGAATCGGAGCTTGGTTTGACATTGTTCTGCTGAAATAAGCAAGGGCTTCTCTGAAAAAGACGTCATCTGGATGTTGCTCCAAAACATGTATGTATTGTTCAGCATTACTGATGCCTTCACAGATATGCAACTCACCCATGCCATGTGCAATAATGCACCCCCATACCATCATGAATGGTGGCTTTTGAACTGTGCGCTGATAACAAGCCGGATGGTCCGTTTCCTCTTTAGCCCGGAGGATGCGGCATCCATGATTTTCAAAAAGAATTAAAATTTTTGATTCACTGGACCACAGGACACTATTCCATCTTAAAGCAACTCAGGCCCAGAGAAGGTGGCAGAGTTTATGGATCCTGTTCATAGACAGTTTCTTCTTTGCATGATAGAGTTGTAACTTGGAGTTGTGGATGCAGCAATTAACTATCTTCACAGAGACTGTTTTTTGGAAATGTTTCTGAGCCCATGCGGTGAGTTCCACTACAGAATTCGTGTCTGATTTTAAGGCAGTGCAGCCTAAGGGCCCAAAGATCATGGCCATCCAATACTGTTTTTGGCCTTGTACCTTGCGTAGAGATTTCTCAGGATTCTCAGAGTGGTGTACCCATCTTTACTTCTGAAAGACTCAGCCTCTCTGGAATGCTCTTTTTACACCCAGTTATGTTACTGACCTGTTGCCAGTTAATCTAATTAGAGATGTTCCACCAGGTGTGTTTTTTTTTAGCATTACACAACTTTTATTCACCCTGGCATCAAAATCCAAATGGGCATATATTTTTCAAAAAACAATACAATTTCTTAGTTTCAACATTTGATATGTTGTCTTTGTAATATTTTCAGTTAAATATCAGGTTTAAATGATTTGCACCCCATTGCACTCTGTTTTTATTTACATTTTGCACAGCATCCCAATTTTTTTGGAAGCATGGTTGTAATGTTGGTCACAATTTTATACTATTCCAAGCTGAATGAAACAGTGTGAAATATAAAGAACATTGTATTAACAGTGTTAATGGTGGGAGAACATTCTAGAATCTCCCAACAGTCACACAGGTATGGCTTGCCAACTGAGCATTTAGGTCTGTTGGTGCTTGTAGAAGAACATTAGGATGGTGTGCACTAGGCCTGAGACAGTGGCTGATGGCTGTTGCTACTGAGTCATCGATGAATAGTTTCGCTCGATGATAGGTTGGGTGAAAGAGTGGGGACGTGAAATATATTATTGATAATATTTTTCTCACGGTACTGTAATCAAAGCTCAGAAGATGCTTTTGAGGTAGACAAAAGTCACTATACTTTAATTATGGGGTAACAAGAATTTTGACTTTTAAGTTGTATAGATTGATGAATTGTGCTTAATATGAGGACAAAAGTATCAGTAAATGTAAATATAAGCCATAACAGTGATTTTCTAATATGGTTGCAGGAGAGGACAGTTGAGAACATGTCTACTAGCATCAAAGATCAAGAAGGAATTCTTGAGTACAGCAGGAACCTGGGGCTTTGAAGCTTCTCTCACCTCTGTGGGCAGGTAGGACAGGAATGGGATGTCCATTCTCTCACACTGCACAGTGAAGTCTTGATGAAGGCTGTGTGCAGAGCGCTTTGGGTAGAACACAGTCGGCATGTAATCCTACCATAACACAGAGGGAAGGGATGAGGGGAGACTCCATTATTAAACCTCAGCTGCTATGGTGTTGACATAATCATGAGTGGAGGCAGCAGCTGCTCCCTTCACTGCTGGTAATGTACACTCTTTAATGGCTTAAACCACAAGTGTTGCATATTATGATACTAGTGCTTCTGCTCAGTTCCACTGTGTTGTATGATCTACGATAAACTACGTTCTCAAGATGATTTTATCCTTAATATTATTATTAGCTTGCTAATAATAATGTGGTTATGTGGTTCCACATTAGAATTACAGCTCCACTACAAACATAAGTAATTAAACATGTCTAATTATGACAATTAGGATAAGGTGAAATGGTGTAAATTTGTTTTTTTTTAAGAAATATCACTGGATTATGAATTGTTTTGGGGTGGATACTTGGATGTGGGCTGTTTGAATATTTGTTTTGCTAGCTGGCCAATTCTTCAACTGATTTATTCCTTTAACAAAGAAAACAATGTGATGACCAGTTGAGGTTAGTGCTATATCAGTAATGCTAACTAGCGCCGTAGATGTATTTATTAGCATCTATATCCGAGGCTGGTTAAGCATTGGATGCATTCCCAATGGCTGTGTGATGTATTTGCATAATGCATGCTGAGTACTGTAGTGCAAGAACACTAATGGATAAAAATGATGTCTGTCACACTGTTGAGGCTGAGGGGTGCAATGCTGTCACTACAGAATACATAACCTAATATATAACATATATACAATATGTGTAACTATATACATAACAATATATATATATATATAATATATAATAATAATATATATATATAATATTACATGCTGGTTTCAGCCTTTATAATCTTAACCTTATCTCAAAAAGAAGTAACTGTAATGTATATAAGCAGCAGTTTGCTACACCCTAGTGGTAGTGGGCTGCCGTTACAGTAGGGTTTTCAAATCCTGGAGGTCTGCACACTGCTCCAATGTTGTTTTCTTATGTTAAACAAACCTAATTCAACCTCAAAATTAAGTGATAAGGTTGTTGGAGTGGGGATAACAAAACAGTTCAGTATTGCAGCCTTCAAGGACTGAAGTTTGTCATTCCTGTCTTGCAGAACACTTACAAACACTCTCAAATGCCTTGCGCAGGCCAGGCCAATACAGCCATTCTTATCTGGTCCACACACCACTAGCACGGTGGGCTGCCTCTTACTCAGAGTGCCCAGCGGGAAGGCCTGCAGGGAGACAAGGACAAGAGGAGCAACAGCTTAGGAAGGCAAGTATGGCTTGACCAGGGCTAGAATTTACAAAGGCCTTCAGAGCACGAGTGCTGGTCGTGCTTTCTTGATTCAGATCACAATTAAAAAATAATTATTTCTGGATCAGCATTCCTTCTCCGAGGTGTTTTAGTCCATTGAGAGCTTCTTATTAGGAGTGAGAAACTGTATGTCATGCAAGCTGGGCTGTCACTATATAGCTTGTTTTAGTAATCAAGTAATCTACTGTTAATTTTATCCAAAATTGAATACAATCATTTTCGGTGTTTCACATGTTGCAATGCCCTACCATCAATTAAATAGGACTAATTGTGTGTTTTTGTAATAAAACATTCAAGTGATCAGTGTTTTTAAGTACTGATGATATCCATGATATGCTGAAATAAGCATGTTGTGACATAATTTATTATTATAACAATTAAAATGTCATCATATCGCCCAGCCCTAGGAACAATAACTAACTAGCCTTTTAAATATTCCACAATATGTCCTGAAAAACATAAAGCGTAGTAGGGAGAGCAGGGCTTAATGCGTTAGCAATGCTAACACATTTTGGTCTTTGCTTATTTTAAAATGTATCTGAGTAAAATTAATATTTTATATAAGCAGCCTTCAAATTTAAATGTAAATTTTGTCTCCACAACTTAACATTTATGAAAACTTCAGCCAAAAAATGGTATGAGTGAAAATGTTACAACTTACCCCTTCAGACTGAGGGGCTAGTTGTAGCTTATTATGTAAATTACCTTCACTGAACTCGGAGCTCCCTCAGTAATAGTGGTCCTGTTCAAATCAACATCACAGAGATGTAATAATAATACTGGATTAAACCTTTTTTTTTCCTTTTTGTGACCTGAAGACAAGTCTAACAGCTAAGTGGGGCTCGATTTGACAGTTCCTTAATGCTCAGGTTCATGACCAGACCACTGAAATCCACAATTCATTTCAGCGTATATTCCCTCCTCTATGTTATGATTATGCATTGTCATTTCGAATGGGCGTCACCCCACACTGAAACGAGATGTAACGTCAGAGCCAGGTGTATGGGGAGACCGGCCACTTTTTATTTCTTCTTTTATATCAAAAACATGATGGCAAAGCTCCAGAGGGCGCCCGCGAGCAAGTCCTCAATGAATGGGGGTGGAAGGAGCTAAAAGGCTAAAAACGAACAGCAAAATAGGTCCTATAGACTTGTCCAGGATCTTCCTTTAAATTGTATAAGGAAAATAAAAAATAAAAAAAGCATATCTGTATAGTTCCTTTTTTCTACAGTAAATGGGTTTTGGACAGTAGGATGCTAGCATTACTGCTACTGAGTGCTACTTGGTTAGCATTACTACGAATGAGTGCTGTTTGGCTGGTGAGCTGTTCGTGCTCACTGATGTCTTGAACGTACATGAGGTGCCCTTACAAAGTCCTATAACTGGAGTTCCAAAGTGCTCAAAAATATAACAGCGATGTTAAAATATTTTGTGCTGTTCTGTGTTCAGGGAATGAATGCATTATTCTATATAAAAAAACATTTAAAGCATTTACAAACTATGATTTTACTCAAATGCTTCATATTAACCCATTAATTTTGGACTCGTTCCGCAGCTCCCTCTACCGTTTGACAAACTTGCAAGACGTTACTGAGTGGCAGTTCTCCTCTCTACATATTCTCTGGTAAAGTGTTCTCCCTCAGCCAGTTCTGCTTTTTGGTGTTATTGGTGCCATATTTGCCATTTGCCACCTGCTGCTGACGTAAAGGGTCTGCGCAGTGATGTTTTGTTTCTGGCTATTTGGGGAAATTACACAGATACTTTATCCTCTTTGAATCAGCCAGGCAAATCATGCACAAATTACATCTCTTCTGGTAAAACTAATCCTGCTCTAATAGGGCTGTAGTTATAACACTGTGTTAAAACTAACACTGCTACGTGGAAGTGAGGCTGTACTTTAGCTTGTCAAGCTCTCACTTTGAGTGGTTTATATGCTTCAAAGCAATGTTTTATTACAGCCACCAAGAAGGCCAATAAAATAGTGTAGGTGTGAATTCTGTGTGTTAAACACAACACCCAGCTGAATGATTAAAATACACTGATGAATAAAAAAATAATTATGGTACAAAAACATCTTTATGGTGAATCTTGAGAAGTCTTTGTGTGATTGATGACAAAAAGCACAAATGAGTTTGCCATGGGAATACCATTAAATTTCCTAATGCATGAGGTATCAATTTTACATGGAATATTACATTTGACCTTGTGTTAGGTTGTGTCCTGCTCTCAACTACTTCAGCGCAGCATTCATTTAGGAAAAATAAGTTGTGACCATTTTCAGTGAACCCCAATTCTGACACAAAGTATGTTACAGTGGACAAAAGCAAAAAGTAAAACCAAGAGAACAATAAGAGTGCACATTAAAAATGTAATAATAACAGGAGTAAAAAAGACATCTACTAACTACACAGGTTATTTCAGTAAGGTTTTATAGGAATATGATTTACCTGCTGTTAATGAATAAGCTGTTTATGAAGCAGCATCATTAATTGAATATTTAAATGACCAATGATGTTTTTGAAGAACTAACCTTAGTGATAGCAACAGCACACGCATGTCCCAAAATTTCCATCAGTTGTTGCTGCCCAAACCGATAGTCTCTCAGCAGCTCCGTCTCCATGGCTACTGCCTCCTCCTTACTGTACAAACATCCCATTGTTATATAAAAACAGTTGGGGGGGAAATGAATAACTTCCATAAGAAAGCTTTTAGTGGTTTAAATAATTTGTTTTTAAATGAATTAATTCATTTCATTCATTCATTCATTCATTCATTCATTAAGAAAATGCAACCTGGCCCAAAGTCTACAAAATGCTTTATATCATTCTAATGTCTACATTCGGACTAAATCCACACATTCTATTAACCCTTTCGAACCCAACCAAACAATTGTAAAATTTTTAGGAGTTTGGATTAGTTGCAGATTTGTTATGTAGTATTTCATAGATTTACAGCATGCACAACTCTACTGTGGCAATAAAAAGTGATAAGATGCTGGCTGGTTTGTCCCTGTTGTGTATTTCAAACTGAATTGGCAACCGTCATGTAAGACTTTTTAATGCATCATTGTAACAATCAACTGACTTCTTCTGGATAGACTCCTCTGTCTCTAGTGCTGACCTTATATGATCTGTGGGTGGATGTGAGCAGGGCACTGTGCCGGCGGAGCTGAGCTCCTCAGTTCCTGAGCTCAAACTGGGTATTGATTAGGCAGCAGACGCCGCACACGAAGGGGAGCATAAACCTTCAAGAACAAACTTTAGCACCAGATGTCAGTGTCTCGTTCAAAGAGACAGGGAGAATTAAGGCAGTAGTTCAATATTTTGGTTAGGGATGCATGTTCTGGACAAAATACCATATTGGCATTATTGTTACATACAGCAGTTGTAATAGACCATTCAATATATTACAAACACATGAACTTGTGACACAGTTAAGCATCAGCCTGCATTAATTTTCACCGAAGTTTTCCATATTCATATCATATGTACACCTTTATTCATCCGACCTCCAAATAACGTGTAAATTGGTACATGTTCATAGCACACAATAATACACTCAGTAATTGGTTAGAGGCTCATTTATATATTGCACTTATGCCATATCAGTATTGCAGATGCAGTAATGATAAAGCAATGATGTAGCAGCCCTACTTCATAGTACACGGTCAGGTTAAGCTCAATGGTCTGATTCAGAAGCATGATGGCCACATTTTAGCATTACTTTAAGAAAAAGTAATTACATCCAGCCATTGCCAAGGCGTTGTGGAGTGCACCATTGTGAGGCCCTATGTTTATAACTAAACATTAAGATTTTCAAAAACACAGGCCTGATGTATTGTGTGGAATTCTGAAGTGAGCTGTTTCTGCTTAACACAGTTTATTAACTGTAACTGCAGGACTGTAATGTAACTTATTTCAAGTACTGCTCTTTCTCATAGTATGGAGCTGATGTCGCTCAGCAGGTAGCACTTCAAGTATTTTGTCCATTCTTTTCTGAAATATAATCAGACAGTATTGTGTATGTATCAGAAGGCACAGTTTCGTGTAATATTGCACCGCATGCAAGTCAGAGTCTTAATATTGCATGTTATACACAGTAATTGCAAGACTGTAGAAAGTCTTAGTATTTTTGTTTTATGAATTTCAATAATAGAGCACTAATGCTCCTCAGCTGGTAGTGCCATAAGATTAGTCCATGCATGCTGAAGCTGGTTTACACACATGCTGCTTAGACCCACTATATCACCCCCTACTCTTTCTAGCCAGCTGGTGCTATGAGGGAGGGGTGAGGTTGAATAAGGACAGAGTACAGCAGGGAGTCAAGTCACACATGACAGAGTATCCACAAGTCTTTAAAAACATTTAATTGAACATATTTAAGACCTTAAACCCCTCCCCCCAAGGTTTTATATATGTAACAGTGTAATGGCACTGGATGTACTATGTCTAATATATGTATCTACAATTTGTTACACCCAAAAAACTGTTGCCTATTTGACCACAAATTTTACTGCCTGTTGAGATGGGTGTTACGACTGCAAAATGCTTGCCAAAATTTCATGTATGCTGAGCCAGCTGCGTTACCTAGGGGACCTTCCCAGATTTGCCAGCTTTGTGTGAATACAAACACAGGGAGAAGTGCAAAATCAACGACAGTTGGCAGAGACCAAGTTTGCTGCTTCAGAATTTTCCGTTCATTAGTAGTTCTCATTATGGTTGTACGAATTGTCTTAAATTGCATTAGAACTGGTATTAAAGAGGTATTAAAAAGTCCTAAATTTTATTTCCATGATGTCCATTTATGTCCATGAACCCCAGGAAAAAATACATTTGCAATGAGCTCTTTTGACATTGAGCAGTAAAACTATTTTAAAAAACTGAGTTGAGTTGAGGTGTTCTTAAAACCTTTTATGGGATACATGACTTTCATGTCAAAGATATACACTTTGCAGGCCATAAATCAACCTTAAAATGGTATTTCTTTGACATGAGACAGACACATTCAATTTAAACGTCCTGACAGGCCTATTTCGGTAGGATCTGTGGAATGTTGTTCAGGAGGAATGGATTGTTTCTTCTCTGAATCTTGGCAGGCAACTTGAATCTGCTCAGATTCACAAGTGATTTTTTTTTGGGTAAAAGCATCTGCACTTGTAACATTGTACCAGAGTGGACCATAATGATCCCCAATGAGTTTCTATGCACAAAGTAAGACCGGCTGTTCATTGGTAATGCTGGCCAACAAGCAAAGTTTTATGTGGTAATATAAAACAACAGGCTGAATATTGTTATTTCTATGCAATAAGTAAGTCTTATCAGGCAGTATAACATAGTTACCTAAAATGTGTACTATAATTTCCATTGTCTCCTACAGATTATAATCTTGAGGGATCTGTGAAGTATAGTTATCATTAGTCATCAGCTATTTATTTTAATAGGACTGTTCATAAGCAATGCAGAGATTAAAAATCTACAGTGAGGGGGAACAAGTATACATATTAATACTCTAAAAATGAAACTAAAAATGTTCTTGTGCAAATTGTACCTGATGTCATTTCATACAATAAGTGTAAAGGAGCTTCTTAAAGCTCTCAAAAATATCATTAAACAACACTCAAATGGAAAAACATACAGAGCTCTAGCAAAGACCATACACATCCCAAATAGATATAACTCGACTGGTTTCTAAAAACTCTTGTAACGTTGGGGGATTTAAGATTTGCCAGAAGGAGTGGACCAAATTTGAACCACAATTATGCAAAAAGCGAATTATTTCTTACCGTAGGTGTCTCAAAGCTGTAAATGCCAGCAACAGTTTTGCAACAATCTACTGATGCTATTAATTTGTGGTGTCTGAATAATTTTTTTGTTTTGTTTTTAAGCATGTACTTGTGTGTGGTTACTAATAAATACTTTTTGTTCACATTTACAAGTACAATGTAAAAAGACATCATGCATGTACATTTGAAGTGGACAGCGCTGGAAAAACAATAGTATCTGAATACTTCCCCTCACTGTAGAGCTGTAAATAGCTTCGTCACTGACTTCTGAATCTTTTTATGAAGTGTTGGCTACTGTCATCATGTTGATATAAAATTCCTCACAGCAGCTTTAATCGTTCTTACAGGCTTAAACAGATGTTTTGTCTCCTAAGAAGAAGGCAAATTATTTGAAACAAGCGATACTCTAGTTAATACTGAAATTAAGCTGGTTAATTATTTAGTGTTATTCAGATTGAAACATCCTAACAATGAGAAGCAAATACAAATGATTGTTTCAAATATTGACAATATAAATGCGACTACTATGATTTTCCATGTCTGTATTCACTCAGACATACCCCTTAAAACTCTAAGGAGCTGTTGACGGGTCCAGACTAACTACATACCTTGCACAGTACTATCTGAGTTGTTCATAATAGTAGTCTGTGATATAAACTACCCCAAACAAACTTTAATAGTGTATCAATAGCATTGAATGCAGCTCACCTGAGATATCGCAGCGGTTCTGTGGACTCACAGTCTGGATCAGCACTGTTGTTCATCTCTTCCGTAAATTACTAGATGAAGCTTCACTGCAGCAATTTAGTGACCAACAAACACACTTGGATGTTAGTGTGTTTGAGCTTTAGAATGTACACTCCTCCTTACTGCTTTGAACCTGTTTCCTCCAGTCTTATGAATGCCTCTCTTTATTCTTATAGGTGTTTTCTGCTAAGGTCTTCTCACTTATTCACGAATGTTACCCTTCACTCCAGCTCTCACTCCTACAGTCCACACAGGAATTTTAGTGTTTCTGCTGGCACTACTGCTACAGATTGCAAAAGATAAACCAATCAAAGGAGAAGAGAACAGAGAGGAAGGCTGTTCATTGGCTGAGCACACTGAAGAGGTGGGCCTTGAGTACTGAAAGACATGAAAGGAAATTTGTTCTGTGCTGGGTATGTTTGAGGAGTGGTATATGTTTAACTCACGATAAGCCTTATTAATCAAAAGTACAATAGAAATATTCCCACAGGAGAAGTAAGATAAGATGATGTGTGAAAGAACATTTGTTAAGCACTGCAGGGACAGCAGGCAGCTAATGAAAGCCAGCGACTACGTGGGTGTGTGATTAGAAAGCTGCACACAATTAACAGTAAATCGCAATCATCTCAGAAAAAAGACTCAAAGTCTGCATGGCAGTATACACAACAGAACAGCTAATGACTGGGGCCTGTTCTGTGTAACAGACAACAACTGGCATTGCACCGCTAACTTAATCCACTTCTTAAGATAAGCAGTTATCCACTACTACTTACGGAGTAGGGAATGTAAAATGCCTTATGACAACTGACAATACGTATGTGTATTCTACACACCTGTTTAAGTCTATGTCTTTACTATGAAGCTTGTCGTTACAGATAACTACTGACTGTAAGACCTGAATCACTAGTTGTTTCTACTTAAATGCATCACTGCTGAAATAACTTGTACTTGGTGAACTTCTGTGCACTTTGCGCAATTTAAGATTATGTGGATTTAGTGGTGGGCAATATGGCAAACATATTGTGATACAAAAAAATGATACGAATCACAACAATTAATTTTTCTGAGGTTTGATAAGTTAGAACAGACAAAAAAAATCCCCAATAGCATCCTGTGTGAAAAAAGTGATTTTGTTGTGCTGCACTAAATCCAATTATACAGGACTACTAATTATACTCTATTTGTAACAAAACGTGCAGTTGGCCGTGACGATGTCCACGATATGCACAGAAAAGCATATTGTAATGTGAAAATTTAGCACAGTAACAAATATTGTCATACTGCCCACCCCTAAACGCAATAATTCACCACTATTTCCACAGTAGGTTTTAAAAAAATACTTGAGATGACAGCTGCTAATACATATATGTATTCCAGAAGCCTATGTAGTTACCCAGTGATGCCTTAATTACCAGCCATTTACACTACAACAGTATAAGGGAGGCTAAACACAGTGTGCAGTTTCTAGGAATGATCATCTTGTTATCATGGTAATGCACCATACCTATTCAGAAATTAATGAAAAAAAAAAAAGATTCAGACAAAACTTCTTTTGGGAATCAAAGAAAACACATTTAATACTTTAAACATTTACAATCTGAACAAGGTGCTCCTTTTTCCAGAGCTGGGTGGGGGCAGATGGTTGGTCCCCTGTGAGGGCTCACTGGGTTCAGGCTGAGTGAAGTCAGCTGGATTCTACACGTACCACAGGAAGCCAAACTTCTTGTGTAGAAGCTCCTCTCTGGGACGAAGGTTAAAGAGTTCCTCTGGGAGGGGAGTCACCCAGCGATCTGTGTGGAAAACCTTCTCACCCACCTGAACACAGAAAGAACTACGTCATTTCATAAACTTTTCTGATTTACGTTGACTTGTAATCATAATGCATTCTTGTTCCGTACCATGACATTTCTGAGTGAAATGCGGCATCAGGGAGGGTCTGTGAGCTAACTGGGCATTTTTGCTCAATGATAATAGTAGAATGTGAAACATGATATTATTGGTTAATATTATTTTTCTCCACCTGCTGGTGCATGGCGAAGTCATCAAAACAAGCTTTAAAGGTGGGCAAAAGACATTACATTTAGATGAAAGGCTACAGGAAAACAAGAATATGATCACTTGTGCTCAATATGTCCAGACCTCTAGTGCCATTTCACCTACCAATAAACCTCTGGACTTGTTTGAACTGGGCTTTTAGCTAGAATTTCAAACTTAGCTGTGAAAATGTGAAAGAGCTGTGAAAAGCCTGCCACATTAGCACAAGTGTGCTCACGAGATGGCGAGTCAATGTAATTTATACCAACAATCACTATTCAGAACTAAGCTAGCCCTACATATAGACTGAGCAGTGCTAGCTTTATGCCACATTTTATAAAATCATTTAAAGAGTTGTACTGCACAAAAAAGAGAGACATGGAATAACACTGACTCCTAAAAATGAAATCTTCTGGGACTGAACAAATGATGTGATGAAGTCATCACATAAACCCATAATGTGAAAAGCCAAGAAAAGAACCTAATTCTAAATCATACTGACAACAGCTTTACGTCTGATCCTCCCCAATCAGAAATGGATTACACAATTCAGAGTAAGAGAGATACTGAGGATGAGTCTTAAGAACACAGTGTGATGGTAAACAGGATGACATTCAGTATAAAGCCTGACTAGTTAATTTTACATTGTAGTTCAAGTGCATTTTACATTTGATTAACTCCTGCATATTTTTCCTATTCAAACTATGTCTGGATGATGTCGAACAAAAACTAGCACAATATTTTCTAGCTAAAAAAATTATTCGAAATAGATTCGAAAAGATTATGTTGACTTGCATTCTAACACCGCTCCCTTCTGCAGAAACTTCAGACTGCATGTGATTTCCAAAGCCATATCCACGTGCTTTACAGATTAAAAACCAAGGCGTTTTGTGTCATAACCACAATGTTTTCAGAATTCAGTTAACCACCGGGTCACATCAGCTGTACAATAAAGCACTGCAAATTTCACTCAGCAAATCACACACAGCGGAGACAGTGGGGAATTTACTCAACTGTAGACTAATGGTGCCATTATATAACTCAATGTTTTATCAGTAACAGTCCCAGTACCCAGTCACTTGAGCTACTGCAGTGAGTCAATTTGAGGCAAGCTGAGGTTCAAAAGCATGTTGGCCTTTTTAATCGCCTTTCATACATCGCCATCGGATTTCTTGTCCATCATCATGTATCTGAATACATTGCCCTATCGCCCAGACCTAGTTCAAACTAGTCGACTGACCTGACTGGACAAAAATTACAAGCGTAAGCCATTTATTTACTTTATATAAAAAATGTAAGAATAAACACAAATTCAAGAAAAAAAAAACAAAAAAACAAAACAAACAAACAAACAAACAAACAAAAAACGGTCCGTACATAACCAAATCCTACCTTCCAGCCAGGGACATCCTTCATGATAATTGCTTCTTCCTCCAGATTCTCTCGAAGCATTCGTAACGTCCTACAAAAAACAAGGTGAGTAAACAACAAATCACAAAAGCTGACAAAATCTCTGGGTGAGGGTCTTTCAGACCTGACACGCTTCATTTTACTTGCATCTAAACTTACTTTCATTTTATTTATGTCTACAACACAAAAGACTGAAGAGGTTTAACAATTAGAAAGACGAAAACGTTGTGGCATAAAAAAGGAGCCATTTAATCTCTACTCTGTTTATACCTACAGACTGAATAAACTCACAATTGCCTCTCTGTTTACTACTGACTTACACAACTGACTATCCACATCCCTAGACATTAAGATTATTATCAAAAGGACAGTCCAGTCCATGGCAATATTTAGTCTGTGTTTGCAATCCGGTCCTATTGGAAAAGAGCAAAAGAGCATGAAGAATATAGTGCAACAGTGTCTCACCTGCGGTCATGTTCAGCCTGTAGCAGAGGCAGTATAGCTATCCGTGCCTCCAGCTCCTCAATGTGCAACCTCCTGAGAGACGTACACAAACACACACAGAGGTCACGTGAAATCCTGGAGTAATATTTCATCTGCATGTATCTCTATAGCTGATCTGAACTATAGCGGGTTATATGATGTGATATAACAACACACCATATAACCTGAACTTTCTGATGGTCATCAGTAACTATATCAGATCCAGAATTGGAATCTCAAAATGAGACAGCATCCTACAATATCTACACAGCAGAGAAAACTACTGAACCCATATATGGGGCCACATAGAACCCTACCTCCTCTCCCTGTTCCATTGGAAGAGCCTCCAGTAGCCAAATGCCATTATTCCAATACCAATCCCAAACATAGTATACCCTGCGAATGACATAAGAACCATCCTGATGACAGTGTAACAATTAAATGCATTCTACACTTTCAACAGTGCACACTGCCTGTGTATACCAAATTTCTCAAGTGACAGATGAGGAAAACAGTAGCGTCTTTACACACAGAACCTACCTACCTGTAATGTAACCTCCTGCTTTAGACAGATTAGTTAGTCATGTGTGAGTCATGTATTTTCTATACTGTCATGCATGCTGCTTTGTGTAGACTGTACTGCAATAAATAGTCTAAGAAAGTCTACACATCTAAACATATGGTTCAAGGGTTCTTTGACCATGAACCATGAGTTCTACATAGAACAGCTGCATGCTTAAATAGTTCTTTGCCTTGGTGAAATGGTTCATCAGACTGATAAATGTGTTGTTCTATATACAAAGTTTTGGAAAAGGAATCTACATAACACCAATAAGGGTTTCTCTATTGTTACAAGCTTGGCATCGTAACAACAGCAGAACCCTTTTGGTGCCATATAGAACCTTATAACACACATTCTCCATCAATATGGACAACAATTTCACCATGCAAAGAACCATTTAAGCATGAAATGGCTCTATAATCTTAAGAATTTTAAAAGAACCATTGCCTTTACTACAGAACCCCTGAAGAACCACTTGTGTACATGTCAAACCTTAAAGGATTTGTAGAGTGTAGGTTAACGTTAAGTTAGCCTCTGAAGTTCTAGCTGCTCTTGCTATAACCTTTGTTCTTGCTAGATAAAAAATGGCCGTTTTTAATTAATTCATTTCTATTAAATAAATCCGTAACTTACTAATATTATCTAAGAGAGACAGACAATCAAACAGTTAAAAACTTGCACATAGTAGCTAAATATTCAGATGAGGTTTGAGTTGTTGGTGTTTCACAAAAGAAAACAGAAATAAAAATGCATTTCAAAGGACAATATAGTCTTTAAAAAAAGAGATATTAAACCAAAGCTGACCAAACTTTCTTGAAACTGTGTTGCAGTGTTTATCCTGTATTTTCAAACCATTAGCTTTAGCCGTTAGCCTACTAACAACATTATCTTACCGTGTAACTACAATGGTACGTAGACTTTTTTCGACATTTTCATTGACGTGATGGGAATAAACAGATAACGTTCTTGAAATATGAATTATGAAAATCACGTATTGGTTTAAAACCTCCTGTCAAAACGCTTCTGTCTGTGCTGTGGTCGGAGCTCACTAGCTAGCTGGCTAACTAGCCTGTGCTGCTAGCTCCGTGTAGCAATGCCCTACCCATACAACTGAAATACGACAGCTGACCACTTTAATAACCACACAGATGGGGACATTATTGCGATTACTGACCAGAAAACCCCCTTTTGGGTAGATTTCGCTTGTAATCGATCGGTCCATAACCTCCCGGAGGAGGCATGTCCTGCTTCACCTTGGACGCCGCCATCTTCCTCCTCCCTCCACCACCGAGCCGAGCTCAGGATTTCAGAGTCAGCGCTGCTCCACACCGCCACCAAACACACCACACACCACACAGCAGGGGGACACTAATTCAGACTCACACTGACCAGACACTTCACACCTCCTTATGCTGTTTCTACACTCACTGTCCACTTTATCAGCTCCATTTACCATACAGGCGCACTTTGTAGTTCTACAATTACAGACTGCAGTCCTGTACACGTTGTTAGCCCCCTTTTACCCTGTTCTTCAATGGTCAGGACCCCCATAGGACCACCTAAGAGCAGTTATCATTTGGATGGTGGATCATTCTCAGCACTGCAGTGACACTGACTTGATGTGTTAGCTTTTAAAAATACCCTGAGAGGAACAAATCCAACAAAGTTGCACTTAAAGGGGAATTCCATCAACTTTTCAGAATTTCTACATAATTAAATGGTGAAGATGTAAACAAGTTATTCAGAGTGGTTTGATGTGAAATGCTCATATACACTGAGAGAACCGTCCACAGTGGTGGTGATAGGAATTTAAAGAGTTTAATGGCTCTAAAATCTAGTTATTATTTGAAATGTTTATGGATTCATAGTCTGATGTCCGAGATGTTGTTTATGATAGTTTGAGCTAAAGTTCAGGCCTAAAACTTATTTTTAAAAGTAATATGTGACAGAGTGGGGGACGCTGTAAGTCCACACAGAAAACATATTTTCAGATTTACCACTATTTTACCATAATCAGCATCACATACATCCACTCAGCAGACAGAGTTTCACTGGTGGTTTTGGATAGAACATAAAATGATGAAGTGGCTGGTCACATCATACAATACTAATACAATAATAATTTTAATAATATTTAATAATATTCTCTCTGTGTAATGAAAGCCACACTGTGTCAGGATGTTATCAGCTGGAAATATGGCACCTTTGTAAGTTGTGTTTTGCTCGTACAAAAAAAATGATTATGCTTTAAACTGTGCAAAATGTAATATTTAATTTGATCATAAATAATTTTAAAAGATCATAATGACAGAATAGCGTTGAAAAAATAGTGCATTGATGAAAATAGAAAGTTTGCAAATTACAATGAAATGGTCAACAACAAGGTCATTTCAAGCCCAAGTCATTGAACATTTGGACGACTTCTGGACGAAATGTGTTAAATTGCCTTGTGCTTGAAGCTGTGGAAATTTGGTAGAATCCAAGATTTAATGAGATGTTTAATGAGATGTTTCAAGGCATTTTCAACAGACACTTTTTCTAAAGAGACTAGAAACCTCAGTGCTGGGAGTAGTTCAGTTCAGCAGTGCAGTCAAACTTCTGACTGATACTGTAGTTTAATAAAGCTGGAAACACTGATAATTATGGTGATTTTTATTCATTTATTTCTTTATATATTTTGCATAAGCTTTCTGACCAGGGATCTATCGTTCAAAAACTCCAAGTGACTGTCACAGCTGCAACAGCAGGAAAATGTTTATTGTTTATTACATTATTCTTGTATTTTATTATTTCCCTGAGGTGCACTTAAAGCCTTTGTGTGATTTTATGTACCAAGGCCAGTCATAATTCATTTTGCATGGATATTTTCCTCCTTTATACCTTAGCATGAAACAGACTGTTTCTGTGCCTGTAAGACTGGTATATGTAAATGAGCTCTGTTCTGGTTGGTTGCCCTATAGTTGTGCCTCATTCCAAAAGCAGTCCAGACTGAAACACTCTTTATAACTTCAGTATGAATGGGTGGAGCTAAACTGCTGTAGGCTGAACAGGGCTCAGCTTCCCAAAAGCATCTTGGTGGTAAGATCATCTTAACAGGTAGAAGGTGCTCAATGTGATGCTCACTACACCATTTAAGAATCATCTTTCAGCTAAGGTAGTTTTGGGAAACCCACAGATGGTTATATGTATATATGTTGGTTTGTATGACATCGCAAAAACAGTGCAACAGGCTGTTTTTGCAGCTTAGTTTCCATTTGTTGGGTTTATGGACTGGAGAGTGAACAGTGTGTATCTGAAACTTTAATGTTTATACAGTACATCATACTCCTATTTAAAAAATCATTCAGTTTTTATGATATGGGGGCTTTAAGTATATTTGTTTTATTTGAAGGTTTAGTACTTGTGACTAAGGCATTGTCGCCGGTAGAAATGGAAACTGTCATAAACATACTGAATATTGAAACACTGGTAAAATATTTGTTATAAATAATAAAAATAAATATTTAGTGTCACCACTGTCACCACTAGTCACTCCAGCTGTACTATTTATAGTACAAATACACACAAACAAAAAACCTTAAAGAAGACACACAAAATGAAAGGGTTAAAAGTCTTTTTATTATTACTTTATAGAACTGGGAAACAAAAGTAAACCTAACAAATAGTAACATCACTTTGTACAGTGCGACGGGGCCGGAGGCAGCAACGAGCTGGCGCCGCACACAGCAAGCACTGCCCGTTCCCCTGCAAACAGAACGATGCGACATCATCAAACAGCATTGGTCAGGAAAGCGTGGCGGCCTCCGTCTCCTATTGGCTGAGTAGTACAGCATCAATACTGAGGGTGCTGGGAAATAAACCAAATCTCAATGCCCAGGGATGGTAGAACAGGCAAAAATTACATACCAAAAAAAAAAAGTTTAGGTAAAGTGTAATAGAGCACAGAGTTTAAAATATGAAACAGGATAAGCTGTATTTTTGTTTTGCGCTACAGCACAATCGCATAAAAAGACATTTCTGCCCAAATAACTGAAAGGTCCAAATCAGAAATGCTTGTGAAAGGAAAGATTAAGGGCACAGACTCTGACTGTAAAATGGTAGAGGGAGCATTACTTTCTCCAAACACATTACATGATCTAAGCGTTGCAGTGCTTTTGAGATCTTACAAATGACATCTGAATGTTTGAAGGCTTGGCTGTGTTCTGCACAGTCCTTGGGAAAAAATCAGTCTTACCAAATCCTAAACTGAAATATCGCTAAAAGCCTCTAACTCCAGGCAGTAAAACTCTGTTCATGAGGTGCAATTTCTGAAGCTGCTTGCTAGGCAAAGCCATTATGTTTACAGCTAAGTGGCATCTAAAATTATAACTGCGTGAGGAGTCAAATCAAATGGACTGTCAATGCACAAACACATATAAGCCAATTATACAAATACTCTGTAATGGATTCTTCAGTGTTACAACTGTGTTTTCTTTGTCTTTTGATTTTGTGAACCGTAATATGTGAATAAAAATGTTTCAGGAGTAACAAAATAAATATAAAAACACCCTCACGCACCTCTCAAGAAGGGGGCTGGAGATTCTGTCAGTGAAAACCTTCATTATAGGTATTCCATTAGGGTCGTTTATGATCTATATGTTACCTATACAACTCACAGGGCTAAAATAAGCTGTGGCATGAACTACCTGTGACTAACTTCAAACTAAAAGCAAAGAAAAATAAAGTACTGTGTTGTTAAAGAGGACCCAACAATTTCTGAAGCACAAAATCTTGAAAGAGACACTTAAACGCAAGTCCAGTCGAGCCTCAAGTCGACGTAGCAATATAACTTAACTTATACTCAAAAGAAAAACAAAAAACAAACAAGAAAAAATCCTAAAGTTAGCCTCAAATGGCTCTTCATTTATCATCGCTAGCTTTCATTTTGCGCTTGAAGATTTATTCATAATGTTAATTTTTTTTTTCTGGAATTTTTTTGTCAGTCTGTCTTTTTGTTGTTTTTTAGCAAAAGTTTTATTTATTATTTATTTTTTTTCCAAGAACTGAAGCTATACAGTCTCAAATAGACCCATGATTCATTTCACATCGAGCACAGACACCCAGTCTCTTTGTGTCGGCGCTCAAAGTCCATCAAGCAGAAGAACCCAATGTGGACTTCCTAGCGCTTCATTCGCATGAGTAACAGCTACCCAGCGTCAGAGCCGTTCTAGGGTCTGGTCCGGTCTGGGGTTACGAAGTATGATTCTGTTGTCATTTACAGCCTTGCAGCGACAGCAAGAGTGGAAGCCCTTTAACCTGTTTTTCCTGTTGGTTTCTTTTTATTTTCAATTCGCTTCAACAAAAATCACACTGTTCCCGAATGATCAATGATCAGCTGAGTTTTTCAAGACAAAAGAAAAAAAAAAAAAAACACACAGTACTGGGAAAAAGCAATCAAAAATCTAGATCGTTGAGAGAAAGAACTGTAGTAGAAGATAAAGATGAAGATGAGGGCACATTCTCATCTTGGTCGATTTCTTTAGAAAGAGCTCCTCAACTGAACGCTATGTTTCCAGAGCTGTTCCGGAACCAAAGGTTCTAGAATCCGTGAGGTTTTGGAACTGTTCCAGACTCTCAGGTGAGGTTCTTGAGTTTGTAGAAGTGGACAGGGGCTGATTGTGATTGTGGCCATGATGAAAGGTCAGCTGAAGGTTATATGTGGCAGGCTTTATTTCCATGTGTTTGCAGTCTGGGAGATGGATCTAGAGGGGATCATGTCTAAGAGGTACTCCCTCTGACGCTCCACAGCCGAGGCTGAAGTCTTGTGCACAGACAGGCTGGGGTTCACATAGGCCATAGTCACGCCTGCAAACAAAGTAAGAAAAAAAAAAAGAAAAGGAAAGACAGGCAGAAGGTAAGGAATGAGTAAACTCACATATGCATGCACAAAACAGTCATAATTAACTTAATTATTAATTAACATAATTAACGGCAGTCCTAATCTGAGATACTTCAGATTCATGAAGCATCTCAGATCCTAGATCGGCAGTCCTAATCTGAGATACTTAATGAATACGGGCCCAGAAGTATAAACAGACTCCTGTACAGACTCCTTTCAGATATGCGGGGTTGTTTGGAAGGCTGCTTCCCAACAGCCAAGAACAGAACAACATTTAATCGTTTTTCCCCATATCTTCTGCTCCAATAACTACAGACTGCCCGCATTAACAACACGCCGCATTACTTCAGGGTGAATGGTTGGGGCTAAACTGCTGTTGGCTGAATGGGTGGTCTTATGTAAATGTGTTCATCTGTGACATCACAACCACAAGGAATTACAAACAGGCTGTTTTTCCAGGTTAGTTTCCATTTATCAACTGTGTGGACTCAAGAATGTGGACATGCTGGAACTTTGTTTGCAAAGTAAGTCAAAGTCTTATTTGAAAAATAAATACATAAATAAAAAGCAAGGAAAATGTGCTTTTCTATGATATGGACCGCTTAATATGCTGAAGTAATACTTCAGTACACCTAAAAATTTTTGTAAACACATACAAACACATACATACAGGGCAGCAGTAAAGTAGTACACTTTAGTAGTACCCATGTGAGTCTAAACATTAGTCCAATTTCAGTGGACAGACTGAAAGCGAATGGAGGGAAACACCAACATTTAAAACACCCCAACACCAGAAGAATGAAATGAATCCAACAGAACAAAGGATTATACTCATACTTACCTATAAGGACAGCCAGCACTTTAATCAAACTTTAATCAAGTATTTATTTTAGGACAGCACAGATCTACTTTACTGACAGAGTTGGGGTCAAATCCGTTTTTTGTTTTCAGTAAAGGGGCATTCTTTAACTTGGAAGTGAACCCCAACTCTCACAAAGCACCTCTGTGATGAGCAGGGATGAGTCAGAAGCAGAGGAAGGGACAGAGACGGTGGGGGAGAAGGTCAAGAAAACTGAAGAGAAGGGAGGGGGGGTGCTTTTTTTTTTTTCGGTCGGACCCATGAGGGGGCTCAGAGTCTACCTGGTGTCACGCTGTTCTGCTTCCTCCAGTTGGAGGAGGTGGCTGGGTTTTGGTTCCTGCTGCCGCCACTGCTGCTGCTGCTGCTGCTGTTGATCTTTGACCCCTGACGCACAGCATGCTTACCTGGCCTGCTGACCAGCGCGGCGGCGGCCACGGCATTCTGGAGCTGAGAGGACGGTGAGAAGGAGTGTGGGACCCCGCGCAGGGCCCCCACAGACTGCTGAACGCTGCGGGACAGCTGAGCAGGACTCTAGAGGAAACGAGCACATAAAGAACAGCACCAAATGATCATGAGGATTTCTTCATTTAAAAGTGTCTATCAATGTGTATCAATGTATAATGAAGGTGTTCTACAGACTGGGGATTCAAACGTTATCTACTAAAATACTTTATTTATTTTACCAGTATCAGCAATACAGATATTACTGCACTGATTTTTTTTTATAATTCTGTCTTGTGTGATTTTATTCATAAGTTAACATTAGGCTGGGCCTACACTGCACGATTTTTTGCCTGATTTTAAACCAGAATTTGCCCCTTGTGACAAATCTGAAGCATCTTCCAGGTCAGGAGCTCGACTGGAAGTGACGGATACTGCAGATGATCTGTTAGTGCAAGAGGAGAAACAAGTGAATCTTTAGCCCTCGATCAAGCTCTGAAGTGATCGGAGACTCTCCAATATTGCCAAACGTTTAATATTTACAACTTAAAACGTTCATGAGTGCTGTAGTTTGAGAAGGTCAGAGATTTACTCAATGAGTGATTCAAACAACAGCCAATCAGAGAGCTAGAGGAGTGAAGAAAAAGACGTAGAGACGTGCACGGACACCTCCTGGACAGCTAAGCGGAAACAGAGGAGCTGCATGTAAAACAGGCAATTAAGAGCCGTTATCTTGTTTATAAGCTGTGGATCTGGACGTCAAAGCACTCTCTTTACAATTTCAGCTCTGTAAATAACTCTCCCAGTCACATATTCTTATAATTAATTCTGAATAGTACCTGAAAAATCTATCAAATTGTGACAAAACTTGAGATTTTATAATGCATAAGATTGTTTCATAAAGAAATGCAATCATATCAAAACTTTGTGAGGTCAGAGACTTACTTCCTTACAAAACACCAATTTCCAAAGTTAGAGAATACAGATTATAAAACTATGTAATTTCTATACTGCTGTCAGCAAGTGAACATTTCAGTAGCTGTAGTTACAGCATCACGGTGAAGGTGGGCTCACCTGTGTGATACTGGAATGGTGGCGGCTGATTGGCTGGGTGGATCTGCTGTGCTGATGAGGCTGAAGCGAGGAAGAGGAGCGCTGCTTCATCTGGGACACGATCACCTGCTGCTCGGCCTTCACTCCGTGGGATGAGGATGAAGAAGAGGATGGTGAGTGGGAGACGGGCGAGGCGGCCTGCTGCAGGATCCGCTGCTCGATCTCCTGCTCCTGCTGCAAAGCTTTCACGAAGGCTGCCTTCAGCCGGTTGGTGTGCTCCGCCTTCAGCGCCTTCTTCTGATTGGTGGACATGCACTGCTCGCACATTATGGCCCCGCCCTTATCCTTACGCCAGCGGCAGGTGAAGTCCGTCTTGCACTGGGTGCAGGTGAAGGGCTCTGTAGAAGCTAACGCTGTAGGCAGAGCACCACCCATTTTACCTTTGAAAAGGGAAGAGGGAGGGGACAGGGTGGGAGAGAAAGAGAACATTAAAATACTTCAAAGTTGTAGGAAAAAAGAAAAGAACAGAGAAGAAAAAAACAAGGGAATAAATAGCAAAGAAAGCAAAGAAAAAAAGCAAAAGAATTAAAAGAAGAATAATAAAAGAAGAGAACAAACAGAAAAACAGAAAAAATTTAGAGAGACAAAGACAACCAACCATGAAATCTACAGTCAGATTTCATGTTTTATGTTCTGCCAAATGCAATAATAAAGACAGAATAGCTGATCTGAGTTGTGTACCTCTCCCCAGAGTGTCCAACAGACACTGCACCACCTCCTCCAGGCCCACCAGGTAGATGAACTCGTTGTTGGCAGCTGAGGGCAGGAAGTTGAGCTCTGGAGCAGGGGGTTTGGGGGGTGGGATCTCCAGTAGGGTTTTCTCCAGCTGCTTTCGCAGGGCCAGCTTGGCTGCGGCCTGCCGGCTGGCCGGAGACTCATTGGCACTAGCCACTGCGCTCTGAGAGGTCCCCGAGGTGGTACTGAGGTTGGCGGCTGTGGACTAGAGGGTGAAGAGAGAAATGATTAAAAGATCGATTTGTGATGGAGCACTTTCATTGTTGAAAAACTCAGCCAATTCACTTCTTCCATTTAGCGTTAAGAGTTACGAGAAAAGCCTAATACACATCAATAAATGAGAGGAAATGTGAGCATTAAGAAGAATAAATGGTCCATTAGCTTGAGAAAAGACTAAGACGTTCAAAGCGTCACTGCTACATCCAAAATGTACCAAATTTAAAAAGGAAAAAACAAACAAAACCTGCGACACATAAAAACCAGTCATAAAACATAAGAGTGTGTTCACTCTAAACTATTGAAAGTAATAATACATTTTGATGAAGCTTTTTTCCACTTATATTGTTACAACAAATGCACTGTTTTTTTAATGGAAGAAAATCTTTGTTTAGAGTGAAATTTGAGCAAACAAGACAAAATAATCATGAGTAATCACAATATTTTGTGTAATTGATCACAATTAATTATTATAATCGTTTGACAGGCCTAGAATTAAGGCACTCACAGACCAACCTCTAATCCTGTCACTAATATTATATAATTGTCTGGCATCTGACCCATACTGTGCAGGCCTAATGTACACAACAACATCACAGACCTGACTGACGTTGACGAGCAGGTTAGTATTGGCCACGTTAGCCACACGGATGAGGCCTGGCTGGATGAGTTTCTGGCCCTGTACGGTGGGCACGGAGGCCCTAGGAGCCAGCAGGAGAGGTGGCGGTCCTGACCCAGAGTACTGCTGCTGCTGCTGCCGCAAACTCGCTATCTGCTGCGGCGTCACTGAGATCGTCTAGAGAAGCGAAAGAGATGAACACATCCACCAACAGGATGAAAAATCCTTCCCTAATAACTTGTTTAATGTATTTGTTCTAAAATGAAAACCCCAAACCAAAGTATAGAACAAAAAGGGTCACACCAGTTCAATGAAACTCCAGAATCTGGTCTTCATTATGCCTTTAAAGCACTTGAACTGAGCACAAGAAACCTGTAATGCAGGGATGAACAGTGAGCAGTTATCTGAGACTCACCTGACCTCCTCTGACCAGTGGAGGCATGATGATCTGAGAGTTCTGAGAGCCGTGTTTGGACACCTGGCCTCCACGCACCAGAGGAGGAGGTATGACCGTACCTGAGCTCCGACCGGACACAACCTGCACAATCACAACACAATCACCATTCATGGATTTTTAATATGTATTTTGATATTTAAAGCAAAAAAGCAAAATTTGCATAAAAGTGTGTATGCTCGCATGAGGATAAAAAACAAATTAGAAAGTGATACATTTTTAATAAATATGAATAGAATGAAGTCATATGACTAATCAGACGTTTTCCCTGGCAGTAGCTACAAAAGCAGGTGCCAGTGAAGAAATTAAAATGCACCTTATTAAAGAAAAAATGTAACTGTGATAGTAAACGGTAAACAAACATGAAGTGGCTGCTGCTGATTAGCAGACATTTCCTGAGTCGTTATATTTAGCAGTGCCACTAAATAAAATACAGCCATAAAATTAAACAAGACAGCAACAAAACTTGCACATCATCAAGGATTTCTGTGTAAAAAGTTTATGTATCTTTTACGTACTGGTTTCACCGACGTGACAGTTTTGTTCCTTTCAAGTTTATTTGCTTGAACTTAATTCAACAGCTCGACAGAAACCTGGCAACTGACAATCAAATAACTCTGCATTCACAGCAGCACACCAAACTCAAAACACATTACTGATCTGCCAAAGAACAAAAATGTCCCTGAATAAAAGTAAGCATCATACTCTTTATGCATTTAAACTAGAGGTGTCTGTTCTGAAGACTTCCCCAGTAATTAAATTTATAAGCATCAATAAAGAATATTTTTCTTAAGAGTGTATGTCTAAAAGCCTTTACACACCAAGCGCAATTTATTCAGACAACAATAAATTGCATATGCGTATAACTGAAGACATCTTGGACAACACCAAATGCGAATTTTCAGATGGTGAAAAAACTGTGACCAATCACGGTTGTTTCTGCTGTTGGCATGGTGACAACCAAGATGACAAAATGACTGTCAGAGCAACTATAACTTTTTGTCAAATGTCAAAAACTTCTCCGGACTTTGTGTCTTTATGAGGTCTGTAGTATGTTTATGTGGTGCTTGTTCTCTTCATGGACATCAAGGTGCTGGAGAGTGACTTTTCCTTGAGAAAGTTATTGTGACATGACATCTCCAATCTATCCTACCAGACAGGGCGCATGACATACGGCAAAGGAGTCGTGTTGCCCCATCATTGTAGAACTGGGTGAAAAGTATCTGCGGAGATTATTCTGGAACTTTAAAGGCTTTGGGCCTGACTGAGACTTACTGTTGCAGACATCATTATATTTGTTGACAACTTAACCAACGACACTGGGTTTAGTTGCTGCTCAACCAATCCTAGTCTCCATTATAATAGGTGTGACAGGTAATGACGAATCAGTGATTATATGCACAGCCTGCCTAATTTACTTTTAACTGGGATAAAGGGGAAGCTGCTTTGTCCAAGTCTGTTAGATGAAGGGGTGAGGGTGCTTTCTTCCTCACCTCACACAGGCTTTTGAGTCTTTCTGCCTTTGTTAAGACTTTGTGTGTGAGGTTATGTGTGTTTATGGGAACATGTTGACCTTTTGAGATGGTCTTTTTCCATTTTCTCTCCATTCTCTTAATTATATTTCCCTTTTCTTTTCCTGTAATTTTGAAAAGCACCTTTTCTACTAAATTTTAAAATTTCAATTAATGGTCTTCTCTTTTTGCTTTTTGGTAAATATCACATCACAGAAATTATAAATGGGTGTTTTTCATACATTTTTAATTTTTATCTCCGTCATTCTGTGGTAAAATACTCAACAGTTCCAACTTATCACAATGTCTTGTGTATCATGGAAACATCTTAAGTACTGCCCACCTCCAATTGAAACTAGACAGACATTTTTAAATGGTAGTAGAACTGAAACAGAGAACAAAGTATAATAACATAGTACATATTGCTATTTATAAATAAACTGCAGGTTCTAAGTACGACCGCTAGTATATTTCAGTAATGAGGTGTGGTAAAGTGGGTCATCAGTTAAAGCGTGTGGTAGACTGGGTGCAGATATAAAGTGAGGTAAACTGTGGGAATGTAAAACATTCGGTGGAATCGTAGTAAAATGATGTACACTGATGTAAAAATGTGGTAACATGCAGTCCTGGCACTTACAGGCTGAGCTCCTTTACCGGACACTGAGCCTCTGACTAGCGGGGGAGGCGTGGCCACCGATCCTGAACCCAGTGGCTGAAAAGAGAAACAGATAACTCTTAAAAATCATAGTTATCACTGACAATAAAGACAACATTAGGGATGTAACAATTCAACATATTGAATTGTGTCGCAGCTTATTGTATTGTGTCATATTGCTCTATTGTGACCGGGACACTATAAATCATAGCTTTTGTTTCAAATGCTGTACTTTTATGATGCTGAATGCACTATCCATTACACTAATAATGGAAACATTAACATAAGGCAACTTTTGAGACCCTTGTTTTTGCTGTATTGAAGCGAGACACCACTGTATCATACCAAAAAAAAAATTTGTTTACTGTGTATTCTTGTTGCCCAGAGGAAAAAAAAAAATTGTTCAAATCTAAACAAATAAAAAAGATCAGAAGTGCAGACTTGAGTCTCTTAATACAGACTGTAAATCTATGTATCTATGTAATGTAAGTGATTATATATAAATAGTACATCAAAAATGACTTCAACCAAAGCAATGACTCTGTACTTCTTTTATAATAATCTTGTCACAGAGCCGTACAGATATCAAATAATGACAAGTAGGTCAAACCAATGTCATTCTAACATCTCACAAAATTCAATAAGGATGCTATAGTGAATCGGATAACACTGACACTGAGGATCACAGCTACTTTAAAGCTCGTGTTTCAGCAGAGTGTATGTACTGGTATCAGTGTCTGTGCGATACCTTCTGAACGCTGGTCTCTTTGTGTATCTGACTCTGTCGAAGTTTCTTCAGCAGTACCAGTTTAGCCTCCTCCAGCCTCAGCTCCTCCTTCAGCTGTTTAATGATACGCTCCCTCTCTTCAGGACTGCTCTTCTACATACACAGACAACAATTTAGGATTAGACCAGAGTAAACTTCACCAACACACACACACAATTACAACTAACAGTCATTCAAGGACCCTCTGCTGCTGTATTATAAATGTTACTGTTACACTATACTATACAGTAATGTGCAATAATTTAATTTCTAGTCAAAATGATCATTAAGTAGAAGTTATTCTTTTTCAGGAAATATTTCTGAGGACATCAAGTAAAAAGTGAAAAAACAGGAATTTCCAAAGCTGGAGTTTAAAAATGATTAAAAGCTTCAGAGAAAACAGGAAAGCAAGGCCTGGTAGACACCAAAACTGTCACTATCAGATAAACAGTACAGGAGAAAACCAAGCTCCACTCTTGCTTCAGATCTAAAAAAAATTCACAGGCGTTTCTGTCCATCCTTCCACTGTGAGAAGACAACAACACTTTGAGTCTGAAAGAATGTGTAGCTGTCAAGAAGCCTTTACTGAGAAAAGGAAATACTAAACTTGCAAATCTCAGAACAAAAACTGACCAGCTATGGAAAATCTAATTTCTCTGAAAATGTAAAGCAAGTCTTCTGAAAATAATGAACTGTAATAAAGGCAAAAAGGGTGTACACAGTAAATAATGAAAAAAAATGTACTATATTAAAATCAGGGGTGTCCAATCTTATCCGCAGAGGGACGATGTGGCTGCAGGTTTTCACTCCAACAAAGCAGGAGGTCACCTAATCAAATTTTTGAAGACCAACTGATTAAACAAGTAGAATCAGGTGTACTTCAGCTTATTGGGAGTGAAAACCTGCAGCCACTCCGGCCCTTTGCGGATAAGATTGGACACCCCAGTATTAAATAGTTGAGGACCACTTTTCTCTTAAATATAGGTTTTCTGTTGATGCTGAAAATGAATAATTTGTATCTAATGTTCCGATGTAAAATTAAATAAATAAAAGGATAATAAAGTCAAAAGGTCTTTGACTTTTGCACAGCACTGTTTATTATTATAAATGTAACATTAAAAAAAAACTGTGGATGTATTAATGATGAGAAAACATTAACAGTCATTAGCTGATCTAATGAAGAACACAGACACACACACACACACACACACACACACACACACACACACACACACACGTATAAATAGATATAATAATGTCTAATATAAGCAGTTAGCAGCTGAATCCTGACCATGAGCAGATCAGTGTCCAGTTCTTTGAAGTGGCCGTTCATCTGGGGACTGGACGGCTCATTATCGGACAGAACGATGACATCATCTGGTGACGGAGGCCGCTTCTCTTTCTTAATGTCACTGCAATAGAAGAGAGACTGTAAGAGGGCAGAAAAACCATAACACAGCATGGCAACACTTACTTCAAATATTTTTTCCTCTTAAAATAAATCTAAACATTTATTTCATGCCTTATTCCAAGGCACAATATTGCTGAGCTTAACTAATGAGCAAATGAAAATGATGCAGCAAAATAGTTCCATTATTTTTTAAGGAGATAAACTGAAGGCAAGAAGATTCAAGACCACATTAAATATCAATTCAAATCTTGAATTGGCCACTCAAACCCGAGCTTGACTGTTAAAAATACATCAGTGTACCTGAAGGGCATCCTAATGTATTTTCACCACTAGAGGGAGACAAATACACAATTTTAATAAATCCCACAAATCCTCAGATTTACTACTTATGGAAGCTTATGGACCAAAGTAACACTTTAAAGAGGTGAATCTTACTGCCTTACTACTGTACCCAAGTCTATTCATTCATTTAAAAGTCAATTAATTTGAACTGCTTTTATGCTTATTAATGAAGTTCTTTCAGCATGAAAATAGAAAACATCTGTAGATCTTTATGATTCAGCCAAAAAAAAATAATTTATCAACCAATTCAAATAATATAAAAAGAAACCAATAATGATTACATAAGGGATCATAAGAGCTTGGTTGATCGGTGGTCTCCTTATCAGTGTCCCAATATCAGCATTGCTCAGTCTGCATACAGTGCTCTTGGTCTTATCTCAGTGCGCATGTGTGCATGTGACAAATGAGGACATGTGCAAAGACCAATTAATGGGGCTCAAAGAAAATGAATTGGTGGTTAATACCACAGAAAACATGTAGAAAGTTACTGACATACAAAACCTCATGTTTCTGAAATGACATCTTTACAGAAAAGAAGAAAAAACAGCTTTAATGTTAATGTACCTCAGTGGAACATGTCATTTTGGATCATTTCTATCACACAATGTAAAGAGCAGCTGGAGGTTTCAAACGTAAAATATGTAAATTAGTAATGAAGTTTTGACATAACAGCAATGACACATACATGACATGTATATACTGATGAATATGTGGCACTGTAGATACAAGAGTTTAAGGTATAGGAACTGTTCCGAATACAGGGTCAGACTTTGACCAAATACGGCCCTGCATGAACCCGTTTAGTGAACCTTGCCTACTGCAGTTGCAAAACACTCTTATTAATCCATATATAGCACTGAACAGTATATTGTTTGTTAATCGTTGTTGCAATATTGGCTTTTGCAATACTGATACTGCAAAAAGGCTGCAAAATGCAAACGATCCCTTTAATACATCACAAAAAAATTTCATCGTGTGCTGTGAGCATAGGTCTCTTCTTGCTACAAGCAGGCTATGCAGTCACTCAGCGATGAAGTCTGAAAAATGAATTAAGTAATTTTTCATTCTTGCATACAACATAAATACATAATTGGGGTGGGAGGAGGCATTTTCTATTGCTCACTGCCCCTGGCTACAACATTTCAGATTTTGGCCACTAAAAATACCCAAGCAGCCACTCACCTTACTGAGCTTTTTCTGCATTTATCCTTGTCTGAATTCATGTAACTGTAACCACCACAATAGCTAGCGTGATGTTAGTGACAAGGTGGTCCCCACTGCTGAGCTGGTCCGTCTGGCATTACAAATGCTTTAGCTGACGTTTGCCAATACCACTCTATGAAGTAAGGTTTCAGATCAATCAAAAAAATCTGCTGTTACATCAAGAGGCTATCACCGCAGCACCTAAACAGGACCTAATGAAATTGATCAGGGTCATGGTGGACCTGCCAGGGTGGACCACTGCATCTCTGTCGAAGTTCATGTAAAGTTTTAACTAAATATTTCCCTGTTCAAAGAAACACCTGAGTTTTTGATACTTAAGTGTGGTTGTTAATTGCAAATACAATGTATATATGATAAACGTTTCCATTTGTCATATTATGTTGGCAACAGGATTCAGTGGCTTAGCGGCCACTCAGGGCCCCCAGATATTCAGAATGACTGAATCAGAACTGGATGTTTTGATGAATCAAGGGAGTCACATGAATCAACAGCGTTAAATAATATAAATGGTCAAAACGAATAGTAGGGGTCCCCCAATCAGTGTTTAATGAAGAGCAGGGATATCACAATATGGAGCAATATAATTGCAATATTCCAAATGCGTTATTTCTTCTCATCTAAGCCATGTGTTGATTGAGAAGCATAAACAGGAAAAGGCCTCAGCCATCGGATAAGTGATGAGAGTTCAAAAGTCAATAAATGTAGGGTCCTTAGCGCCCCACAGACGGTCCACATTCTTCCCTCAACCCTATGTGTTGTGACCCCTATGTTTTAGGTTGGGGGCCCTGAGGACCAGGTTGGGAACCACTGAACTACACAACACAAAAGTAATCAGCAGTAAAAGTACAAAACACTATGACAATGAGACCATTTTGGAAATGTACAGTGCAGTGTGGTATCTCCATACTGTTCAGCCCCACCATGACCTCAAAGCCTCTCTGACTCATCCTGGTAACCGGAGGCTTTAAAACATGAAATATCTTGGTCTTATCATGATCATTCAAATGACATGGCTGGAAGAACCATTCTGTGGCTTTGAAAGACAAGAAGAAGATCAGACAACAAAGGCCAAACACTGGGTTTCTATGGACTGGAATTCAGAGTGAGTGCAAACGTAGACCATGGGTGCACTGCACGCAGACGCAAAACCACTTCCAGCTCACCATCTCATTCCCGTACTAACCTTAAAAGGCAACTAAGACAAAGACCAAGTCTGAACATAGTGAATGTGGTCACATTTCCTGTGTAAACCGCAGACGTTCTTGCTGTAAGCAGGAGAAACGTGTTTCTGTTGAGGTGTGAACTGGCCACTTTTGGCCTCATTCGACTTCATGGACCTGTATGAACTTTAAATAAAGTTTTTTTCCCGTCGAAAAAGTAAAAGCTTTAAGTGTTTGTTGACATTGCGGAGCATGAGGGACCAGCCCTACAGCGTTAGAAGCATCATTCTTGCTCCTTGTCTCTGAGATGCTACTCGTCCTACAGTCACCCACTTCCTGTACATTAATCACTCTACTAAACAAGTCACGTGACCCACAGCGTTTTTGCCTCTGCGTCATGTGACCCTTCCCCCGTCCTCCCTCCCCTCAGTGCTCCTTCCAAAGTGGAAACCATGGCAACCAGCCGGCTGGAACCGGTTTGTGACACATGGCCTTCATTTTGTGAAGTGCAGTAGGGTTCAGGTGCCGGAGAAAATGGAGCTGCCGCCTCACAAACTTCTGAGTGTGAGAGAGAGAGAGAGAGAGAGAGAGAGAGAGAGAGAGAGAGAGAGAGAGAGAGAGAGAGAGAGAGAGAGAGAGATGCCACCCAAGGAGCAAACATATACACACTTCCTGTGTCAAACTACCCCTCTGCCAAAAAAAAAAAACTAAGCAGATATTAATAGATCACAACTATCAGACAGATTGACTGCGGATAAGAAAAAGACACTTAAATGGTTACAGTATAACAACCAAATCCACAACCAAGGGCCCTTCAACATCAGATAAGTTCTACCATTCCAAGTTCATTTTTCAAGTTTAAATTTTTCTGGATAATTAAATCATTGTTTTAAAAAGTCATTAAGTTAGATATGAAATTAATCAGAGATCAGAAGCTTTTAATGCCTCTGAAACAGGCCTGCAAAGTGTTGCCCGTGGGGCAAAACTGGCCCTTGAAGACGCTTGATTTGACCCACAAAGTTAGCCTAACCCCACCCCCTCTCCCAGTGAGACTAGAGATGTACACACACACATACATACATATATATACATATATTTATATATATATAATATATATATATATATATATATATATATATATATATATCATATATATATATAAAACAAAGCTTTTCAGCAACTATACTGTAACGTTATAAAACATTTTTTAAAAATTCATTTTGAAACCTTGGCAGAGAGGGTTCTCCGAACAACTTCGAAGAACAGCGGAACCCTTTCTGATGTTCCATAGAGCTATTTTCAAAAGAACCACATACAGAATTTCATCACAGAGAAATCTCATCTTACCATGCAAACAACCATTTATAAACAAAATCTGCTTCCATATAACCATTGCCTTCACTTAACTAATTGTATTTTTAATGGTGCATATATATTCTTAGTATATTGTTTTGTTTTTGGCCCTTGGCTCACTTCAAACACTGCACCTTCCCCAAAAAAATAAAAATAAAATAAAAATAATAAATTAATTAAAAAAAAGGGACAAACCTCAAAAAACACCCTCAACACTAAAATCTACTTCACAGGTTATTACATGAAATGGTTACAAAAACGCGGCTTGTGGTTTTATGGCCTAAAATATATTTTTCAAATCCAATCATGGAGAGGTATACACAGGACATTATAAACAAAATAGTCCCCAAACAATGACGGTATGTTATTGTGATAAATTACAATATGAGTACATCATGAATATAGTCATCATTGTTTGGTCTAGCACAGTGAATAATTGAATGCATCATTAAAAAAAATAATAATAATAAAAAAAATATTAGACCAATTATGGAGATATAATACATAAAATGTACAACTGTATACATGGGTGATGGTTTACGGGACGCTCAGAAAGTCACTCAGGAAGTCTTGACAGCTCATCCACTTTAACTAACTACTTTCCTCGCAGAGCGCTGGAGCACTCATAGCGCTGCTTCACTCCATCAGGCTCACAAGCCTCTCTCAGTGGCGGGCTAGGGGGTAATAGCTCAGCGCACGCACAGGTTAACCAACGCTTCATGGCAATTAAAAAGCATAAATCTGGTACAAGAATGTGCTGACAAAATGTATTGTGGCATCACCATGCCACCTTGTAAGCATTTCAGGATTTTATTAAGAAAAGAAATGTTTATGTTGGGCTGTTTTAGGTTAATTTGTACAAGAACTTAGCTTAAAGAGCCTGAATACATGCGGAGTTGTGGGTTTTCAAATGTAGAGCCAA